GGGTTTGTCTGGCGGAAAGGAAGCTTGATGTCTAAGGGGCGGAGAGAATTGTTGAGATTAGAAAGGACCGGGAAAAGTAGGGAAGGCGGGATAGAAGGTTCCAGGAGTAGAGAGTTTGGGAGAGAAGAATTCGTTTAGCACGTGAGAGGGCGAGTTTTGAAATGGGAAAGGGTAGCCAAGATGGGAAAAGAAATTTTGAAAAGTGGAAAATTTTGCTGGAAGGAAGAGGATCACGTTTTGGGGGGCATGGGAAAGAGGGAGATAAGAACACTTTCCTTGAAGGGGGGAAACTGATAAAAAAATAATTAATGTACATGCCACTGTGCTGGTTTTCGGTAAATGGAAAAGGAAAAACCCGTTTGAGCGGTGGACTGGCATCAAGGAAAGGAAACAAGGGGAAAATTTGATTCCCCTTTAGCTTTAAAAATTAATGGAAGGGGCAAAATTATTAAAAGTTCAGACAAGGTTGGAAGGTGGAGTCATGAGGCCACAGAGCAAAGATGTCATCCACTAGCGGAGCCAGAGTGAATTTGGGACATCGAGGGGGGGAAAAAGAACAGTTCGAAGTTTCCTGTAAAGATTAGGAAGGACGGAGAGAGGGAGACCATAGCGAACCCAAAAGGGTTTTAGAATTATATTTCCCTTGGAAGGAAAGGAATTTTGAGTCCACAAGAGGGGAAAGATCAAGAAAGACATCAGTAGGTTGGGAGAGTGAAAACCCTTCATGGGCCTTCTCTTAAGGAATCATCAAGAGGGGCATTGGTGAAAAGGGATTCAACGTCAAGACTAACTCTTTCAGGTTGGGGGGGGAGAGCGAACCCCTTCAATGAAGTTTGAGAGTGGGAGGTGGGCAGGAGGGAAAAAGTACCAAGAAAAGGAGTGAGGGTTTTTTTGGCCACCAAAAAGCAAGAGATAAGGACGAACCTCTAGAGGATATGATAGGACGAAGAGGAATATCGGTTTATGGTTTTGGGAAGGGCCCTAGAAATAGGGGAAGAGAGGGGGCAGATGACACGGAAAAGGTTGAAAAAAGGGGCAAATCAGGAGGA